TTGTAGGGTAGGTTTGGTCATAGAACGTGGCAACATAACAATTCGGTCTATTGACATAAATAATCAGTGCGATTGTACCCTACCATCGATCTCGCACTGAGCTGGAAAGCAAGCTGAGAGCCTAAAAACTTTCCCTTGAGGGAAGTGTGGCAACTTTACCTAAGTGCCTTGCTCAACACCTTAAGCAGATCGCACGTCTAAAGGATAACTCATCTTGATCGTGTTCACATTGAGCCACCTTTACCCAGCCCCGCCGCCCTTTGTATTGCAAGGGACGAAGGATTAATATGTGCAGATGATAAGCAAAGAGTGATTGTATCCAAGTACTATTGGTTGTTTGTATTCCTTTAATCTAGATCGATCTAGAGGGTGGACCACTTGATATGTGTCAAAGAACGAGACCAATTCTTGCTCAGAAATCAAATGATTTACGCCCTTAAAAAATCCTTTGTTCTTTAGAGATTCTGGAGCATATCAAGTCAAAGTATTTAACTCAGTCGACAAGGTAAGTAACGATTCAAGTAGGGAGGGGTTAAAGTGGTTCAACCACACGTAATTTTTATTGTTGGGGAAACAATATTCGTAACGGATACGGCATTAGGGGACGTGAAGCTCATCACTGAGCTGCTGGGTGCAACCGCAATTGCTGAAGCACCTAAGTCTATTGTATGATAGCTTCTGAATGGCCTACACAGGGACTGTTGCTCAGGACGTCATACCGAGGCAAAAGGGGAAAATGTGAGTAAAAATAAGACTTATCTCAAATCAACAGTTTCCAAGGAAGACTATAATCTGAAACAAACGGCAAACACAAATATGCCCTAGGGCATAGTGTCACAAAAGACTCAAAAGTCTGTTCGGCTTCTTTTCAGAGGTATTAATCGTCTCGGAGAAAACACCAACACTATGAATCTAGAATTTTCAAACATTAGACATTTAGCGTACGTCGGCACGCTATGGACTTTGGAACTCAAAGGAGTCCTTTAACCGGATTACAAAGTGGACAGCCACTTATTTTACACATCCTGTGGTGTACTTCCCTGTTCCTTTAGTATGCCATTCAGTGCCGCTAAACTTATGACCCCTTTGACAACAGAGGATATTCCAAAAGAGGCGGAGATCGGAAAGAATGGGTAAAACATTACAGAACAGGGAGGCAGAGAACCGTTCGAAGAAAGACTACGAAAGACAAAGCCAGTCTCACCGATGTAGGAGGCTTTTAAAAGGCATGTCTGAAAACATCTCGCGCATCTTACTACCCTTCAATATCCGCGTCGCCCACAAACCCATCACCACACTACGTCAGTTACTTACCAACGCTAAAGACAAAGACGAACCGAGGAACAGACAGGGAACAATTTATAAGATCAATTGTTCCGACTGCCAAGCCTCCTACATCGGTGAGACTGGCAGAAACCTCACAACAAGACTGACTGAACACAGACGGGCGACGAGGAAAGGTGATGTCAGCAATCACATTGCTGAACACCATCGACTTACCAACCACAACATTGACTGGGACTCTGCGCAATGCCTAACCTACAGCACTGACTATTTTCAACGACTGACTCTGGAAAGCTGGTTTACTAACTTAGAACAGACTCTCCTAAACAGATGTCAACAACTACCCGCCCCATACAAACGACTCATTCACGACATAAACATCACAAACGACCGAAAAAGAACAACCTAGCTTTACCGACAGACCGAAACAGACCAATCACGACCGACTTACGTCACTTGAGTCTTACAGCCAATAACATCACGGCAAAACCAACCGATCATTTCACACGAACTGGAATAAGAACATTCTACTGACAACAATCATTCACTTGACTCTGATGATGACTTCCGCACAGGTTGTCGAAACGTCAGTCACTGCCACCGACAACAGTCCTTCTCAGGACTACACTCACCCGGACGATCAGACTACACCTTCACATGTTACCCCCGGGTTCAAACCATTTACTGCATTACTTATAAAATAATAATAAAAAAAAAAACCTGGATAACATATGGATATGCACAACTGAAAACTAAGCTAAGAGCTCTTGGATAAAAAATATTTTCGAACAGAAGATTTAAAAGAGCCAATGGAGTCTTTCTTTTGAATGTGTAAGGGGATGCTGTTCCATAGTTTTGCTCCACTGGCCTGAAAAGTTGGCCCCCCTTCCGTTTCTCTATTATTGGAGGGGCACACTTAGTTATATTTTCCATAGCGACTGGTTTTGGTGTGTCGGTCTGAGTTTCTCGTTAAAAGTTCTGTTATATAGCTCAGACAGTTATTTTCATCTTTGAGGCGCCTAAATATTAAACTATTCCTTTTAAGCTTTAATTCTTCCTTAACTGGCAGCCAATCCAGTCGTCTGAAAAGCATCTCGCTTCTTTCACCGATATCAGCATCCAAGATTACTCGAGCTGCTCGCTTTTGCAGCCTGGATACGCGGTTAACGTTCTCTTTTGACCCAGTGTACCATGCACATGAACCATACAACATTATTGGCTTGATCAAGGCGTTTAAATATAGCATACGCTCAGCTAAAGGCAGGTTACACGTAATCATCTTCAGCACCGCAATACGTTGTGACACATTTTTACAAATGCTCAGTAAAACTCAAGTGATTGTCTAATATTACTCCAAGTAGTTTCTGTGAAGTTATTTGCTCAATCTCGCTACTGTTGCATGATGATTTAAGATTGGTGTCTGGAGCTTTCTTTTTTAGTCGTTTGCCAGTTACTAGAAGACTTTTTGTAGTAGAGGCATTAAGTACCATATTGTTTCCAGATGTCCAGTCTGCCATCTTGTTTATGTCTTTTCGGAGCCTCTGCTGAACTGCAGGTAGATCTGTGACTACAACGGAAGTACTTAAAGTTGTTTCGTCTGCGTAAATGTTTACAGTTGACTTAGAGACTGAGTTTGGGAGATCATTTACAAAGATGATTAATAGTAATGGTCCAAGACCGATCCTTGCGGAACACCGTGTGTGATCAGCCTGTATTTTGAATGCACTCCATCAATGGGAGCTGAGCTCCTTCTGCCCTTTAAGTAGTTCTTTAACAGCATCAATTCCCTAGATGTTATACCGTATGCCTCGAGCTTGGACAGAAGTATGATGTGGTCAATTAAGTCGAAGGCCCTCTTGTAATCTACCAATACGAGCCCACTGACTTGGTCTATATCCATGTCAGGTAACAACTGATCCGTCAGCGGAATGAGCGCTGTCTCCGTAGAGTAGGATCTTCGGAAACATCGCCAGAAATAGAGGACATTTTGCTCCCGCATTCATTGGTCAACGGATTGGAGTCGGATGAAAACACAGATAGTGGTTAGGACAAGTTCCATATTAAATAATGAGCGAATTAAGTTCTGTGGACCTTCTTTATGGAGAAAAAAGCAAAACAAAAACAGCTTTGAACATATCTCCTGGTATTTTTAAGGTAAAGCGACTTGTAGCAATTTCCTGTCTGATGTAATGTAAGGGAAAATCTGTACAAAGCTTCAAACTGGCTTTACTTGTAATCGTCTACGGATGTCAGACATTTTGTAAATTGTAGTTTAAACCACTTGCATTAAATAATGGGAAGATCTAGGCAAATCTTACTTGAAAAGGGCTTTTTCTCCCAGTTGAAAATACAGTTCAACGAACGCACTATACAGATCTCTTTGATCTGCTTCCTAGTTTTCGCGCAAGAAAATAAATTTGTGCAAGGCTCTACTTTAGTACGAGAGGGTCTGGATTGAGTTTATTTCCCGTCAAACATTGCTGAGTAAGAAAAATAAATATGGCGACAGTTTAAAGGTTTCGCAGAGGGCTTTTGTTTTAACGCTTTTCCTTCTGATGCGTTCTCAAGGATGGTCTCAGATCACAAACTCCACAGAGCAAAAATAGCAATTTTCAAGCTCTTTTGGAAGTATCTTATTGTCAAGAAATGTTTCTTTTTATGGACGATTTGCCTACTTCGAACTTCCCTTTATTTAATGCGAGTCGGAGCTAGTTGACTTCTTGGAGCTTTGCTTCCAAATCGACGATCCTTTGCCATGGATTACGCTATATTTGAAACAGACTAGAGGAAATGACTAGCCTCGAATACCGAACATTGCAGACATTGCTGGAAGTAAGTAGACAGATAGCTTTTGAATTATTTTTATGCTAGAAGTACAGCTTAATCTCTACTGAACTTGTTTCAAGTCAAAGCTAGAGAATACTCTGACTCGTATTTGCTGTATTTTGGATTTTTGTGGAAATCCCATACATTTCCTTACACGATTTCGCCGCCATTAACTCCTCAATACGCACGCGCGTCCGGCATTTTAACCCAAATATCTGGCAATGCCTTACCTCAAGGTCTACAACAAGTTGTTGCTTCTCGTGTACTTGTACAGGGCTTGATGGAAATTTTTCTCAAAAATTATTTATAGTAAAGAGAGTACTGACATTGGACGATAATTGCTCTTGTCGTCTTTACTTTCTCACCCCTTGTAAAATGGCGTAACTTTGGCAGTTTTCTATGCAGACGGGAAATTTCCTGTATCAATGCAGTGGTTAATAAGCCGACTTAAACGTAAGGAGATTGCAGGGACAGCTATTTTCAGTACCCTAGCACCGAGACCTTCAGATTCCGCCGCCTTGTGGAATGGCTTGAGTTTTAGCAACTCCTCGATCTTTTTCGGTGTGATATGTGGGATGATGAACTGTGGTTTATTCATGCTTTCTGCTGTGAGGTCTTTAATGTGCTTAAGAGGAATCCGTGACGATGAATTTGGTGGTTTATAGCTTTTACAGCTATGGATTTTGCAAAGTAAATATCGTGTGCACTTTGATGCCTTCAAAAGACGTTTCAACGAAAAAAGCACTTTAATAGGCGATTGCTAGCATCTAAAGTAATTGAATCTCCTTATTATCGCAATAATCCGATATAACGATTGGATTATATGACTATAGCCTTCACATAAATGTGCTAAATTTGTTTCAAAATGCTTTGCTACTGCTGAAAAAACAGTGATTTGTGCCTATTTATGCCAGCACAAAGCAACTATTCTACTTCGTCAAAAGCTGTTTAATGGTACTTTCAAGGTGACTATTTGCAAAGATCCTGACTTGAGGTGATATGTCAGTTTCACAAGCCACTGTCTCTTCAGTTTATCTCGTCTAAATCGTCAGGACAAATGATATCTCCTTTAAGGTCATCAAAGTTGATATGAACGTAACCACCAGAACTCTCATCTACAAGTCTGACTTGCGCATATTGACCAATAAACTCCTCTACGTCCCAGCTCTTACGGAACATTGTCTCTGAACAATTCCCTGTCTCATTTCTGACGACCTTAACGTAATGACAAACACAAAAGTTTTTAAACCTTTGTTTCGACAATTGCTGACATATCTAACATGAATATATCGTACATTAATTGACTTGCAATGCTTTGAACTTGTGGAAAAAATACTGTCGTTTCGAGCGAGGGTAAGCCAAAGACAAATAAAGCAAAATATAATGTGCTAGACGCATAGTTGGTTATCTCGTCAACTTTCCTCTGAGGAAGTTTAAAATAAGCAACCTTTATGGATATCACGAAGCTCAAAATGGTTTCGCAATTTTGAAAAAGCAAACCTCTGATACTCTGATCAATCTACTTACACTATTTCACAAGAATTAAAGAAAATATAATGGTCGAAGTGTCGCATAATCTCACCTGGTTGTCAACAATAAGCTCTGCACGAACATTACCTAAGTCACACCCTCCACCGATGAGAAACGAGATATTCTTGCCAACGATACGAAAACAAGGTGAGGTGAGAGTTCCTTGGGGTACATCGGGTCCATTTGAATGCTGAACCCCGGCGGTATCGCTCTCACTGGGCCGTTTCTCAGCTCCCCCTATCCACCAGTCCCCTTGCAGATTGGCGCTTTCTCTGCGGCGATATGTTGGATTGTCCCCAAATGTAGGCTGGTAAATGAAAGCTCTGCCTGTCATTTCCCAGTCGGCGATTCCATCTTCAAAGTCAAAGCTGCAGGCTACATTAAAAAAAGGAAATTTTTATCCACCTGCATATAATCATTCGGTATTCATTCCACTTCACAGTTTTTTATTTGAATACCTTTGCTGCAGAATGCACCAGTGAATCCGTAAGGACATTTACAGCTAAATCCTTTATCAGTGTATCCAGCTTGACATGTGCCATTGTTGAGACAGCGCTGCTGCTGCAGGGATTCTGTTAAAGGCAAAATAATATTTTAGGCTTTTTATAAAATAAGTACAAACAAGAAGCACTTTATCAGTCACTAAACCATTTGGTTTGTTCAGTAGCGATTGATTTATTTTGACTGGGTCTGTTAATTTTAGCAACGGGTATCTTGTTTTTCTTGTTTTTTTTTTGTTTTTTTTTAATATTACAGAGATGACACCACAGGTGTATCTTAGCTTTGATATTCTCCCCTGTCCAGGTGATCCCTCCTAAATAAATAAAAGTTGTCGAAGGATATTTTAATTGACATCTTCCTTGCAAGTTCTCCACCAATCTCTGTTTCTAGAACTACCATACAAACGGTAGGTCACCAAAGAGATAGCGGATAGGCCAATCTTGCTCTTTCTGTGCCCGAACTAGTACTAATCTCACGTGGGCTATTTCTTCGTTTCACAGCATATTTCTCCATAGTTTCATAAAGCAATACTTAAAAAAAAAGGAAAAAAAGAAAGAAAATAACATTTGATGGATAAGTAAAAGTCCCCAGCGTTTGGAAGAATGTCATATATAATAGATGGAAAAATCTCTCAATTTCATAACATCGAAATCAGGTCAAAAAGTTTCTCAGGATGCCTAATGCAATACTGAGGAATCACTTCAATTCAATACAAGTACAAGAATTTCAAGGCTAGTTTAAGAGATAATTCGTCAAACTGATCGCCCACAATAATTTTTCATTGTCTAAAATAACTCACTTTACCTCGATACTGAGATGGGTATAATCTTGTTTACTCTGAAGGTCGGACGAGCCTGGGCTTTCGTCCGAAGCATTGTTTAACTCAAATGTAGTTCCCTCCTTGTGAAGGGCCAACATTTATGGACACACAATTGGGCTCCAAATAACACAGCACATTACAGCTGCCTTGATGGACACCTCTTCAAGCCTAATCAAGAGGTCTTTCATGACTTTTTCCCGTATGGGCTCTTTGAAAAGAATGGATCGGCATTATTGACCTATTTGGTTGACAAACAACAAAACAAGTTCATGCACTGTTTTGGTTTAGTTAACAAATAGAGAAGCCTTGACTGTGCTCTGTTCTTTAGTAAAGCACGCAGGAAGCGGCTAGAGCACCAAAGAAGTGTAGGGAGAAACACGAGACGTCGTCCAGTGTTTCTCCCCACTTCTTGAGGACTTCTGGGTCGAATAAAAACCCGAGAGAAAAAATTCGGGATTTGGTCCCCCATGTTACAAATTGGCAGATGGCGTGACAGCTTCAACTCCATGTTCAGTACCCTGATAGAGCACGCCCTTTCAGCCAATGAAAGCACGCGTTATATCTGAACTTTATTATAAAATAAGACAATGGCAGGGTAAAATTCTTAAGAACTTAATTGGCCTCGAGAGACACTCCATAATGGTTTATTGCTGCCTTTTTTTACTCTGAGAGTTTTCCTGCTACGTTATCCCAGGAGTTTGAAACTTTTACCGAAGAAGGAACTTGTCTTTGGAGATATATCTGTAATTTTACCGTTAGTTTTTGAAAGTACGCTTAATCAAGTTGTGAAAACCACAGGCGAGTTACCCGTCAAAGAGGAAAGAAATTAATGTATATCCCTTCTAAAGTCGATCCTAGCAGAAAGAACTATTAAAAGTGAGAAAGAACCCCACTATGCTCCATATGTCGCTTGCATAATTCTATTGGAAATAGAGTTTCGCCAACAGCGGCGCTAATGCATATTTTTCAGTGAGAAGATATAACAATAAATTACTATTCTAATTGACATTAATTTTCACTCTCATCAGTGGGACCAGTAATGGCGAATCCATCGTTTGTAAATTACCAAAAAAAAAAAAAAGGTTTTATTTAAACTATGGAAATGAATTGAAGGAATATCGGTAAAAAAAAAATTCAAAACACAGTTGACTTACCGGAACATTCAGAGGAAATCAGAATAATGATACCGCTTTGAAAGAAAAAGCTTAAGAGTAAAACGGAAGCTTCGAGTTTCCTTCTGCACGTTTCCGCCATTTATTTGTTTTCTAGGAGAAACATTTACCAGCTACGCGCTGAAACAGCAGTTTATATTATTTTAACAACAGTCATCTCTGTCAGCCGACGGTGAAAAATTGCTGTGGATTTCAATGCGTTTACGTAAATGTTCGCAGAACTTAAACTGACTCCAGTTGGCTTGTTCAACAGAAGTTTTCAAGGAGATATTCTTGCTGTCGTTCGTGGCTAAGACAGGTGCTGCTTTTAAAGATTATGGATTATGTACGCTACTGGACACAAAGATGCCAGCGGGGAAGAGTCATTAGCTATTCAGCCAATCAGACGAAATCAATGGGTAAAACAATTCTATTGCCCTCAAAATGGCTCTATTTGAGGAAACCGTTATCCGAAGTCTTTAGAATCCGTAAAAAACATTTTCTGTTATTTTACGGCATGGGAGGTTGGTTGTCAAGCTCATCTACGGCTGCTTCTCTAAATACGGTATCATTTCACAAAAGCTATAACCTTATCGCTTAACATCATGTATAAAAGTTAAATAGCGGCTTATCGATTAATGAAAGTTGAAGCAATTATTCCGACTGAATGACGAAGATCGCTTAATGTGCAACAGCAGCTTTATATTTTGACGGGCAATTTTAGCAGAGGCTTATGATACGACGAACTTCTTTAAAATACTGAAGTGTTTTCATTAATGACGCACCATTAAGTTAATATGATGACAGGTCGTTGACAGCTAGGTTTTTCATGATCATGAACTTGCCGAGTAAACAAAATAAAAATTAGCAAGGGGTAGGTGTCTCGCAGTGTTTTACGTGAAGCTAAATTTAGAAATTAGAAAGAAGTAAATCAAACGTTACTCATACGGGAGCTGTTGACTATTGTCAAGCGACTAAACTTCTGCGCATGAACGAGCCATGTTAGTAAGCTTGGCGTTATAAGTGTATTTACTCAAGTGTTACTTCTCAAACCTCTCTGATCAGGTAAATTAATTTGCATAGATGCATACACAATGCCATTAATAACTCTCTCAAAAATAAACAAAAGAAGATTAAAAGATTGAGAAATTGATTTGTCTTTTGCTTTATCTGACCGTTCGATACAGGTGGAAGACAATAACATGCGTTTGGGCGCTTAATAGAGGTGACCGCCTGTTAGAGGTAAATATAACAATTAATTAAAGACAAACCATCTACAAAGATGAATAGAAAAGCGCTTTTACGCTGGTGTCTTGCTTAATACTAATGAAACATCATCTCCTTAACAATTTACTCAGCTCTTATTAAGTCTTCCTTTGCTTTTTAAATTACTAATTTCCTTTCTTTTTGTTACTGATACGGCCGTAATTTTAAGGGGCACGACATTTTATGGGTTATTAACTAAGCGTGAGGTCAAGATGGCTGGATATTGGCTGAGGTCTTTTTTTTTTTCTTTGTATTCTTATGTGTCCCTCCTGACAACCAAAAAACGACTTCGAACAGTTGAAATAATTGAAAAGGCTAGCGACAGAAAATGCAAGTCACAACTTCGTGGATATTTTGGCGAAGGGCAAAACACACTACCATTGTAAAATCAAAGATACCTTACTTATTCAGGAACTTGAGCCAGCTTTCAACGTGAACATCGGAAGTGAAAAGCAGTTGCTTTATTAATCTGCTCTAGTGTTTATTGTTAAGTTTTATGCTTAATCTTGGTTCCAGTCCCCTCACCTCGGCTTTATATATGCATAGCTGTTTTAAGTTTCAGCGGTTACTTTTGAAAAGGTATGTTGAGTACATACGAAACGTCAAGTAATAATCAAAATGTGCAAGTTCAATATGTTTATCACTGCTGTTTGTGTGTTATTTTTGAACAAATTCATTGCCCACTCGGTAGACAAATAATTCTCGTACTGTTACAGTACTACATCAAAAGCGATTTAAGCATACTTTCAACGTAACTATTTTCAAACAAAAAAAGAAAAACAGACTTGAGGTGATATGTCAGTTTCAAGAACCGCGGTCTCTTCAGTTTTTCTCGTCAAAATAGTGAGGACAAATGATATCTGCTTTAAGGTCATCAAAGTTGATGTGACCATAACCATCAGAACGCTCATCTACAAGTCTGACTTGCGCGTATTGACCAATAAACTCCTCTACGTCCCAGCTCTTACGGAACATTGTCTCCAAACAGTTTCCAGTCTCCTTTCTGACGACCTAAACGTTACGACAAACATAAAGTAACATTTCAAACCTTCGTTTCGACGATTGCTGACATATCTGACATGAATATATCATACATTAATTGACTTGCAATACTTTAATCTTAGGTAAAAAAAAAAAAAAAAAACCTTTCGTTTCGAAGGAGGGTAAGCCAAAGACTAAAAAAGTGAAATATAGTGTGTCAGACGCCAAGTTGTTTATCTAGCAGACTCTCACTTAAGTAAACTCAAAATAAGAAGTTTCTAATTAAAAAAAATATTTAAAACGTAAAACCACACGTTTTCAACACTTCATTGTTATTAGGGTCATCATCACTTACCCAGATGATGACCAAAGGTAAAAAATGTCTAAATTTTACTTTTTAAATATATTTTCCCCTATCTTTATCTCATTTAAACCTAAGCGAACTCTATGGATATCACGAGGATCAACATGGCTTCGCAATTTTAAAAGACCAAATCTCTGATACCTTGATTAATCTACCTAAGCTATCATGATTTTAAACGAATCGAAGGACACACAATAGTCAAAGTGAATAATCTCACCTGGATGTTGACAATAAGCTCCACACGAACTTCATTTATTTTACATCCCCCACCAATAAGAAACGAGATATTCTTGCCAACGATACGAAAACAAGGTGAGGTGAGAGTTCCGTGGGGGTTGTCGGCTCCATCTGGATGCTGCTTTCCTGGGGGATCGCTCTCATTGGACCGTTTCTCGGCTCCCCCTATCCACCAGTCCCCTTGCAGATTGGCGCTTTCTCTTCCGCGAGCTGCTGGATTGTCACCAAATGTAGGCTGGTAAATGAAAGCTCTGCCTGTCATTTCCCACCCGCCGATTCCATCTTCAAAGTCAAAGCTGCAGGCTACATTAAAAAAAAAAAAAAAAAAAAAAAAAGAAAGTTTTTATTCCCCTGAACACACTATGATTATCATTTGTTAATAATTCCACTTTGCACTTTTGTGTATAATTACCTTTCTCGCAGCGTACACCAGTAAATCCGAAAGGACATTTACATCGAAATCCTTTATCAGTATACCCAGCTTGACATGTGCCATTGTTGAAACAGGGACTGCTGCTGCAGGGATTCTGTCGAAGACAAAATGACTGCGTTTCATAAAAATCCATGGTTAGTTTACTTGCCCAGGTTATCATGCAATCTCAAAGGGACACATTTGTGCTGGAAGGATAACTTCTTCAGGCTTTTTGATAACAGAAGTAAGTGCGGACAAGAGCTAGTTAAGCTTTATCAGTCATTAAGTTAGAAAATCTATTAATCACGGTCCTGGATATTTGATTTGTTGGTTATTGGTTGATTGATTAAGAACTGGTCCCTTAATTTTAGCCACGGGTATCTTGTTGATTCTTTTTTTTACATTCTAGCGATGACACCGCCGGTATATCCTAGCTTTGATATTCTCCCTCCAGGTGACTCCTCATAAATAAATTAAAGTTGTCGAGGGATTTTTTTATTGAAATTTTCCTTGAAAGTTCTCCACCAATCTCTGTTTCTAGAACCACCATACAAAGAAAAGGTCACCAAAGAGATAGATGGCCAATTTATACCCTAATTATGCCCGAACTAGTACTAATCACGAGGGCTATTTTGTAGTTTCACAGCATATTTCTCGACAGTTTTATAAAGTATCACTTGAAAAAAAGCCGTTTGATAGATAAGTAAAAAGTCTCGAGCGATTGGGACAGTATAATATACAGAAAAATCTCTCAATTGCATAACATCGAAACCAAAACGTTCCTCAAGATCCGCGGTGCTTTACTTAAGAATCACTTGTTCAATACTTGTGCAATTGGAAGACTACTTTAATCCGTCAAACTGATCGCCCACAATAATTGTCCATTGTCTAAAACGAGTTACTTTACCTCGATACTGAGATGGATATAATCTTGTTTACTCTGAAGATCGGACGAACCTGGACTTTCGTCCGAAGCATTGTTCAGCTCGCAAATATAGTTCCCTCCTTTCGAAGGCCCAACATTTATGGAAACACAATTGGGCTCCATATAACACAGCACATTACAGCTGCCTTGATGGGGCACCTCTTCAAGCCTGATCAGGTGGCCCTTCATGACTTTTTCCTGCAAGGATTCTTTGAAAACAATGGATCGGCATTCTTGACCTATTTGGTCTGCAAATAACAAAACAAGTTCATGTACAGTTTTGGTATAGAACAAGATAACTGCAGAGTAATATCTTCAAGAAATTTATATGCCTCTAGAGACACTGGATAATGGTTTGTTGCTGCCTTTTTGTACTCTGAAAGTTTTTCCTGATACGATATCCTAAGAAATTGAAACTTCTGCTTAGGAATTTCGAAACCTTTTCCTCCTCGATTCCTCCTCAGCCACTGGAATTAAGCAGATGCTTAGCACATTGGTTTGTGTCAGAGAATTGCCTTTGATTGAAATGAAACTTCGAAAAACAGAGTATGCCATTAAATGAAAACTGATGCACGATTATTGAGTTTCTAGCCACCTGATTGGCAGAACAAAGCCATATTAACCTAGCTCCTGGTAACCCAGCTCCGAGCTCATAACCTCTAATCAGCGCCAGAATAAGTTCACACGTCATGTCTGAAGAGCTGAGTTCTGTTTATGTGAAGAATAACATTCTTGTTCTTCCACATTCTTAATCATTAACAGACTCTCCTCCCTCATTCAAAGTTGTCTAAAATTGATGGAAACACGATACAACATTGTTTTGGGGCGGAAAGAGGGGAAATGGTTAACTTGGCAAGCGTAAAAGAGATTTATTGTAGTAATACGGGGTTGAAAAATATCAAAAATCTTGCCACCGATTGTCTGAATGACCGTATTAGAAATTTCTTAAAAATGAAGATAAAGGAGAAGTCTGTTTTAACTTTATGTTATCTACTTCATGTTTACTTTCGACTAAGTCAGCTTTGGTATGGGCACCACTCGGTACAAGCTAATAGGGATCGGTTATGTAGTTATTTTGTGACGTTACAGTCGAGTTGTTAGCTCAGAAAACTTTTAGCAACATTGTTTTTGAGGTGATATCTTTGAACAAACCTGTGCACTTGTGCAAGATGAAAGGGACATTTCAGCAGTCAGGAGGGCAACACCAAAGAAGACGTCGATCAAAAAAATTAATTTCTATTTTTATTTTTGATTTCAAAAATGGCTGCATGTGTTTACCATGTCTTACGGTGCCACACTTCAACTTCAGCATAACGTATATAAGCAGCGTTGAGTTCCAAATAGAAATTCAAAAGATTTGCCGTCGAAGTTTCCGTTCGCGGACGACGCAAATCTTGGTGATTTCACGTTTTGTAGAGGACGGCTAAGAAATGTAAAAAGTTTTAAAACGCACGTGCTGGCCATTGTTCTTTTATGTTGCCACAACCTCGTTGCCATTAGCGTCCTAAAAACGATCAAAAAGTTGTAATGAGCCATATAAAGGAGAAGGAGCCGGTCAACCAAGAAAGTTCCAAAAACGACTCATTTTTCGAAAAGTCACCAATTTACGTAAGGAAAAGGGCAATTTCACTGTTAGGAAACTGATGGAAAAAGAACATTTAAATATATAACAAGTTTCTTTTGGAGCCATGCAACACTTCCTTCATTTGAATGGCTATCGTCACGAGTTTGCGTGACTTGTAAGGTACAATAAACCCTTTCATTTCATCGTATTTCTCTTGGGAATTTACTCCGAAATCTGAATTTAGGATTCATAGTGTGTTAATATCATTAATTTTGAACCAAAAATGCATCGAAAGAGTTGAGAAAAAGTTTAGATTGCGATATTCAACGGTTAACCACAAGTATAAACGGGACATAAACGTACTTTTTAAATTTATTGTCAAATATGATCAATAAATTCGTCAGGAGCAAGCGCGAAACAATGCCTGAAAAAAAATCGCTTCGCCAGTGCTTACTATTTAAATTCCTTGAATTTAGTTTTCGAAAGGCAGCAGATGCTTCATTAGCCTTTCAGGAGTGCTTTTAGATCGGAATCAACTCTCTCACATTTAATTTGGTTACTATGGAAGACGAAATACGAATTGACGTCATAGTGGTTTTTATTTCTGCCAGAGGAAAAATACTGTTTGACTGAAAGGGATACGATACACGTTGGGATTCGAGCAAGAGGGAGCCGAGCCTTGTACAGTTTGTCACAAAGCCACATCTCATCTAGTCACAAATTAAAGATCCCCTTCACAAAGAGGTTGCAACAGAGTATTTGCAATTGAAACAATAGAAAGCTTACCTATGACGAAGCTCTCAAACGTTAAGAACACACGGAAAGACACTTAGTATTGATAAAGTAAAGAACATAGCCAGCTTACCAGAACATCCCCAGCAAATTGGAAAAATGACTGCAGAGAAGTAAAAGCTACATAGCTGGATAAGGATGCTGATCTCAATATAAAATTTTCGTTTCAACTTTGCCGCCATTTGATAATAAATGTATGATGTTTTGATATCACGGAGGGGCAAGCTATAGTGAAACCACGTTTCAAATCTTTCCAGTCTTAAACACTTCCAAACAGTGAGTCCAGCTTACACTCAAAGATGAAACCTTGCAGTGGCACTTCAACACACTATCCTCGCTGAACATCTTCTTTCACCAGAATTTTCTCATATTGAGGCCAGTGCTGTTTTACTGAATTAGCATATGACAGGTGCACAATCGGCGTGTGATCTGACAGGCAGAAAATATGCGTTATGCCGATGTTTTCATTTGCATTTGTTTATTTAAAATTCTAGCGGCAATTATACACATCCTCCCTCAGAGATAAATATACAAAATAGGCTACTTCTCAAGCTTTGGTCAATTGTCAATTGTTTGGTCAAGCTTTCGTCAATTGTTTTAAGTCGAGAAGACCAGCTTTCAAGACAACTGTCTGTTCATCTAGAAACAAGATATTTTGACCACAGCATTTTTCTACGTGCATACAGATAGAAGTAGATAATTATATTTTTTTCGGGGAAATTGTATCGCTAAAGGGATGGTATTGCATTGAAAACATCAACTACTTATGCTGCATGTTTAGATTTTAGACTGTACCCAGATTTCATTTTATTCTTGAACGATGTGTTCAGAATATGAATTTTTACCAAGAAAAAGGAAAAGCTTAAAAAATGACCTAACAATGCCAGTCACGATTATGACAAAATTTACAGGCTAATGAATAATGTTAATTTTCTTTCTTTTATTTTTAATTTTTCTCTTTGAACACAAAATGTCACTTGAATTTGATTAATCTGACAGGTGTTAATATCTTCTTCTGCAAACAGCCACAATATTGCTCTTAAGATTGTATACATGTTATTAGCTAACCTTTGTTGCGAAATCTAGCTAGCATATTGAAGAACTTTTTGTTTGATGCCTTTACGTTCATTGTTGCACTGAGAGGTCGTCAGTGTAACCGAATAAAGTCACAAGAACGTGCAAAAGCAAAACAAATCGATCGCGACGAATAAAATAGGATGACACTATAGAATAGAATTCAAAGAAAACTACTCTTTTACAGTAGCCTTCCTCTTGCTTGAAAATATGCTCGTCAATTGTTCCGAGAAAATGCATCAGTGTTGCGAAGCGAACGGATTTCCCGGCGAGGACTGAGCTTAAAGAGTACTGTAAACATCGAGGGACATCTAATTTCCATGATAAAAATATGAGGGTATTTCAGTCAAGAAAGAAAAATGCTCTCGTACCGCGTGTTTTATAGCCTTCGAATATTTATGTTGCAAGTGGAAAAAACGCTCAGGCTCAGCGTGGAAAACTCTTCAGCTGCGAAAGAAATCGACTTTTTCAAAGTTCTACCTTTTGCACACTAGGACAAACAATAACAATATTTAAACAATCTACCACCTTGAAGCGACAGGTAAACAAAGAATTTAGTCATGTTGGACGTGTGGTTTCAAAATTGGGGAATATTGATTCCCCAATTTTAGCTTCAGGAATATTGGGTCACATGACATCACGTTAAAATCAATAGCACGCCAAATGAAGTATGTGGCACTACAATCCAACATGTATTTTTGCGCAAGTGCGATTGGTCAAATATCCCCAAATTAAAACTGGAGAATATCCAAAGATATACCTCAAGAGATATTTCCCAATTTTTCCAACCTTACGTCCATTATGGAAAATTCTGAGGTTACAATTCAATTCAGGATGAGAAAGCTTTGTGTAGTTGTTATGGATGTTTTTTTGTTCATAAAATTGTTTCAGAGATCATTAAAAGTGAACGTCCCACGCCGAAAACGGCAAGCTGTTGGTAAACATTTTTCCCAAGCGTTGAAAAAATTAGAAGGATAATCGACATAATAGCCTCCATTTGGCGTATATTTTTCCTTGGACATTACTTGTTCCGAGATGCAAACAGTTTTTTGAGAGCGAAGATCGGGAAAACTGTGAGCTTCGAGAATGTCCGCGGATAAATATCCCAGCATATTTTCGCGCCAAATAGAGGCTACTGTTTAGATAGGCCACCATTCGTTTCAGCTCACTAACGTATCAAACCACGTGGGACGTTAGGAAAACATGAGAAAAGACGATAAATTACGAGCCTATGGCGAGTGATTTACAAACTTCTTAATTGGATCATCAGAGTAATACTGTTTAAGTTATTAAGCAACCAGAGCAGCGTGGCTGTGCATATCTAACCAGACAAAGTTCCGGTCACTTTAGGAAGTTAGCGAAGAATAGTAATATGCTCACCTGTGTCTTCTTCTCCCGGTATATCTCTTCAAAAAAAAGTGTGGCGGTCGCTTAGGAGAAAACTGGAGTTTTTCTTCAGCAACTGTATTGTACGATGCCATGTTATTATCATTTCGAATCATCAAATCCCTCCTTCGTGTTTTTTAACTTATATCAAAGTCTTATTCTTTAATTCAGTTTCCTTGATTACTACAAATGCCTAAATTATCCTCAGAAATGTGTCTCATCGACCCACAATAAACCAGAGGAAGAGTGCTTGCTCATACAAAACCACTGTGTCCGCTATGCTATTAAAGAGTTCAGTTCATGCTCATATCGTGCGTATATCGAAGCATGAATGCACTTGAAAAATTCTTAAGTTACTATCGGTAACCTTGTGCAACGCCTGAGCATCTCTCGTGCTCTCCAAACTTCCCGGGCTTCCCGTAGGCACGCTAAGCGTTGCATGACATCTCAAAGAACGACTGTGCAAAAGAGGATGATAAATGGCTACACAAGAATGCTAAGATTAAGTCCTCTTGTGCTCCAAAATCAAAACCTACACTAGGTAGATGTTTCAAGATTGAAAATATGCACATTTAAAATCCTGTTCAATTGGCTTTTTTATTTGTTACCTTACTTAGAATCCGGCCATGCAGTTCATCACCAGGGGGAAGGGGTCGGAGTATTTTGGTTGTGTCACGATCCACCACCTGCTCCCCACCCATCCCCCCCCCCGTCAATAAATGATGGCTGGTCTCTCAACAGAACTAGATGTTTGGTTCGGTTACACTTAACCATAAATTAAACGTCAATAGACGAAACATACCCGTTTTGTCGCCATAAATAAATGCAATCAAGCTTCCTACCATCGGCCATGAAACAAAAAATTATTATCAACAGATAGAATCATGTAATTGAACTGGAGTAATATTTTTTGAGAAATCAGCCAACGATCGATCTAAGTCTTGCTGAAGCAGCATCAAACAAAATCATTTGAACCCTCTTTAAACTCCAAGAGTGACCAGAAGCTAATTTCTCCTGACATTAATACTGTTAAATCATTCATTAACATCATGAGAATATAGGAAATAATCACCAACCCAAGAAGCTTTGATTGCTAAACGAATTCTCGTTGTCAGTACCAAGGGAAATGTATAGAGAACAGTGTGGAGAATATGCATACTAATGTCAGGGTGTAAAGGTTTAATCATATTTCCGAATTTACTAGAGCCAGAATCAAACCCGGACAGAAGCAACGATTTTGCAAAAGTCCATTTCACACAAGTCAGAGCTCCTAGCAGAAGCCTTTTGGTCGAAGTTAATTTATTCTGACGTAGACTGACTCCGAGCAATATTTATTTTGAAATTGCGTCATAGACCTCTTTTAAGAAATTCCGTTCTTTACTAAGTATTAGTAAAGCTTTGAAACCTTTCGCGAAATCATTACTACTATACTTGTAGCCAGTAGTTCGTTTCAAACAAATCTTATGCAACTTTTGCACATTGTTTCTTAGCAGACTTCGGCGTCGGCTTTTTGCTTCTAAACAGAGTTTTATAAACAACCTTTGGAATTATGGAGTATCAGGTAATTGAATCTGCACTTGTCAAAGCACCCCCGCTATTTTGAGTGATTTTGACCCATTCAAAACGATATGAAAGTGGATGCAAATTTTCTTTGTCAACTATTGATTACGGATTAACGCGATCAAGCGTTGAATTGACCTAGCGTCCTTATGCTTACATTGAAATTACAAATTGTTCTTTTCAAATGCGCAAACGTAAAGCCGATAAGCTTAATACATGTAGGTTGCCGTCATTTTTGTCACCAAATAAGGTACACTTCTTTGCACGGAAGCTTAATATGGTCTGTAAAGTATGATAATATTGACGCCGAGAATAAAGAATAGCAATATAGGACGTATACAACTCAACTTGACTGCGAAACCTGGTTAAAATTTTATCATGATAGACAGTAAAAATTCTTTTCACGATCTGGAGGAAGTATTGTGTAGCCTGCAAGCGTCCCTGCGAGCCTATTCCGGAGAGAAATCAACCTCTTTGGATCACGGCAGTACAAGGAAAGAGGAAAGATACGGCAGCACTCAACATATATTGAAAGAAATTCCAACATCGGACTGCAATGATGAACTTGAAATTGAGGACATTCTAATGGAAATACTGCTGCATCAAAAGCTGCACACGTCTAAAGAATACTCTTTGAACGGTCAAATAATTAAAGTGTACGTATTAGATGACACAGAACTTTAACGATTGGTTGTAGGTAACTGTGGAAGCAAGGTACTCTCTTCGGTTAACGAAGCCCTCAAGTCACATCGCCTTAGACTGAGAAAATGTGGATTGTTACTATTTACAAATGCATTATATAGGAATTCAAAGTTCTTGAGCAGTGCTTGAATTATTCGTCCATAGCTAGGCCGGTGCTTAACTCCGGTTTCTGCAGCATGAAGCAACTAGGAGTATTTCTACTCCCCCTGGATGGGATGCCAGCCCATCGCATCACGAAAGTACTATAAGCTAAATGACCAAATTTGAAAATAGGGACCTTAAGAATCGGACAAATCTATGACGCGGACGGGACACCATAACCAAGAAAAACTGGGAACCAGAAACTCGTCGGTCACGTCACTTGTAAAGATTAAGGTCGGCACACACGAGGGGACTAGTCCCTGCGACTAGTCCCAACGACCAGTTTCATGCGACCAGTCCCTTCGTGTGAACTACACATTTCTGTGGTCGCACAAATTCAAACTGGTTTGAATTCGTGTGACCAGTCGCAGGGACTTGTCGCATGAAAATAATGTTTGTCCCTTCGTGTGAACTGTTTGTGCGACCAGTTCCTGCGACTAAACGGTAAATTAGCCTATCACGGGTCAGTATGATGCGTTAGTTCCGGTATTTGTAACCATTGCAGTTTCTATGAATATTCCCTGAATTCTAGATTTCTACAACTGATGAATAAAAAAGCTATTTCTAGTTTTGTAAACATATACAGATGTCTTGGAGCCGTTTTGATGGAATTTTTACCCAATTTGACTCTGTGTCTGTTAAAAATTAAAAACAAAACAAAACAAAAACGGAACACGTAAAAGAATGAATCATCCGACTGAATAAGTGTAGTTCATTTGCGTTGATGTTTAATAGTCCAATTTTGTTTTCGTGTAACGCCCCAGACTAAGAAACATCTTTTGCCTCTCAATTTTCCTATGTTCTTGTGCAATTGAGTGCCCTCGTGTAAACGCCTTAAGGGACGAGTCCCTGCTACCGATCCCCTCGTGTAAACCCTTCAAGGACTTGTCGCAGGGACTAGTCCCCTCGTTTTTTTTTATGTTTAAGGTGGACGGCCGGGCCCCCGATGAAGGGCGTGTGCAATGCCCGCCGACCAACAGGACTAATCCCACCCATGGCTTGCGTGCAATGCCTTAGGGTTGGGGTCCACCAGAAACGAGGGTCACCAGACACCAAACTCGCTGGGGAATCGAACCCCACCTCAACAAAAATTAACACACTCACACCAAAAATTGAACACACACACTCGATAACTTAAATAACTTAAACTACTTTTTAGTTTTCATTTTTAGGTTTTAAATTTTTAAACTAATATTAAACTATTTCTTCGGAGTGTACTTTAGCACATGTCTAGGAGGACCATTTTGCGGGTTGAGAACAAAGGCAATTGAACCAGGAGGAACTTGAAGGTGTGATGTTAACCGTAGGAGGTCTACTCTATCACCTGAAAGGCCAGGAGGTGTGGATAGCAATTCGAGAATTTCACTTCTGGACTTGGAAGAAATGACCGACGTAACGGAGGGTGGCGCGGTTAAGAATAATGCGACTGG